GCGCAGCCCAGTGAAACCAGTCCCTCCCAGCCGCCCAGCTGGTGCACAATGGCAGGCTGTTCAGGCTGGGCAAACGGATCTGCAGGTTACTGTGTCCAATTGTACTGAGTGTGGGTCTGGTCCAACAAAACATTCAGGCAAACACTTAACGGAAAGTGTGCGAACAGTCCCACTGAGACCTACCACGTCTATCTATGAATCTACATCCTTCTGAAAATCCACTGACAAGCTCGACCTGCCCAGCCCCATCATCTGATTACATACGAGATGCACAACTGCAGTAAATAAGCATGGAGATGAATTGTTCTGTGTGAATGCAGCTGATAAACTCCAGTCCTCAGCACTTAGTTATATATCCAGTAATCACTTTGTGGCTTCACTTAAGCGAGAATGAAGAAATTTATGGCCCCTAATTCCTCTGAATCCTCATTAACAAACAGTCCAAAAAGAATTTAAAAGCAAGACTTTCTGAGGATCTGAGCTAGAGCTTTAATCGCTCTTTGGCAAATATGTAAAAATCCCTCTAATCTTCAATAAAGAGCATTCATTGTTTTTTGGGACTATGAGAAAACACTAAACTCATTTATCACTATTAAACTTTCCCATCTGCTCTTACGGTGTAACTCCAAAGAATATAACAAAGAAATGTACATGTTAAATTGTATTGACTTAAGCCCAGAGCTATTGGGGATGTACAATTTATTTCAGTGGGGGCATGAAGGGGACTGCAGGCTGCTAGACAGAGTCATTTGTCCAATGCTGAAAAGACAGTTATCTGCACCAAAATGGCTCTTGGAAAGGCACATTTGCTTTATAAGAAATAAGCTGCCAGGTGAGACCATTCAGCATTATGTTACAGACCCAGACAATAAAACTAAGCCATGAATTTCAATAGTTAACAGATGGACTAATTAGAGACTGAATTCTTTGTGGTTCTAACAGATAAACAGGTCACAGCAAGGTTACTGAGAGAGAGACAGACCAGCAGCTTTGCAAATTTCAGTAGATATTTGCAGAGTTGGGGAAGAACTCCACTTCCTAACTGAAAGCATTAGCAGCAGTGGAAGGACGGAAAGGTGTCGTAATTAACAATGCATACAGTATCTGCATTTAAAGAGTTTATTCCATTTCAAAAGACACTGCTGATTGGAGAAATATTCCCTCCACTTGCAATGGGGCATCCAGCTGAATCCGGTAATTACAGAGCTTAAAACGGAAGGGTTGTTGAGATGAGCCACAGCATAAAAGGAAAAGACCAAAGGAGATGGTTGTTCAGGGTAGGTGTTTGGTGTAAACACAAGAAAGGGACAAGCTGCTTCTTCCACCAGTTGGTTTTTTTTTTTTGGTTACCAAAGATAACTTACCTTGAAGAATTTCCGAGACATCACACAGCAAAAGAAGCCCCAAACCAACAGAGAGGAAACCCATGGCTACAGGACTTCACAGGAGCCTGTGCTACTGACCCCTGCCGAGGCCCAGGCTGCTCGGCCGGGGACACTCAGTGGATCCCTGTTCACGGCACGGACAGCTATTCTCTAGGGGTGGGGTGAAGTTTCATTAATCAAGTTTTGTTCTGTATTTAAGAACATCTGTTACGTATGGGGAGTTCTGTACTCTGCTGAGGAAATGCAAATACTAGTTTCAAACTGATGCCTCTGCATTTCCCGTGGTCCCGCCTGCCTGCTGGTGCATCGTCCTCTGTCTAGTAGGTGCGCTGCATCTCCTTGGTGGGGCTTTCATGCCTGGGCAGCACTTTGCTCTGAAGTCCAGGACTCAGACTCCTAGGCACAATGACTCTACAAATACTACAAAC